TGTGTGTGTGTGTTTGAGTGTGTGTGTGAGTGTGTGTGTGTGTATGTGTGTAGCGCTCTCAACATCACGCCTGACAAACATTCCAGTATGGAAATATCTCGGTAAATGATGCTGTATATGCCTAAATGATATGACTGTATTCAGAGTATATTTATATATGATTTGTCTTCTCTTTTCTTATGCTGGTAGTTTTGCTTTGGTTTTTAAGTGCTGCTTCTATTTCCTTTTGCAACAAAATAAAGGATCAGATTATTTTCTTCTCTAACTCTTGTTTTCTGGGCTCTTGTGTTTGATGGAAAGTTCACTCAGATTTCTATAAATAGTCAAACAGTATTGTGTATTGTGGATAGTTATTAATACATTTATACACAATTAATACACAAATTACGACTCACAAACACCTGTTAATTTATTAGTTAAATAATGAAAAACAGGCCTAACAAGATTTCTGCGGGTCTTAAAAAGTCTTAATTCACCTTTACCACAAATTAAGTACTAAAAAGCTCTAAAATCAGAGCAGAAAGTCTTAAATTCATAAAGTTGTGGCATTAAATGTAAAAATGAATCTCTTCCTCAGTATTTCTGTCTTGTTTTCTAGTATAAATATCTAAACATCCTTATATATCACAATATATTTACTGGAGATGCGCAATGAAGATATGAAATGAGTTAACGATTAAAACAAGAACAAATATCTGTCAATGCAAACTTGTTTCCCTCTGAATTAAGTTGATTTTTCTGAACATTGCTCGTTTTTATGGACAGTAAACAAAATACTACAGTAATTATGGTATGTGGTATGGTATTTCTGCGGAGTTTATACTCTATATTGATGTGAATGTGTGACAGAGAGATGCTCGTTTAACACATTATTACAGCCACTGATCAATAACTGTAAGTGTAATAATTCATATATGATAGTCAGAGCTGGGTAGATTACTTACAAATTGTAATCCGTTACTGAGTCCAAATTACATGACAAAAATTGTAGTTAGTGGCGTAATCACATAAACACATTTTAAGTCATATTATCAGAGTACTTGAGACTTTAGACCTAACTAACGTTAATAATCTTTAATAATCAATAACCATATTGATATAAAATGCAAAGAGTAAGAAAATATAGTTCATTTGTTCTTATCAACAGCATGAAGTGCATTAAACATTATTACGTCGAGGTTTGCAGGCAGTTTATGAGTTGAATGAAAAGCTAATAATTAATTAAATCATAAAAATGTTAAGTTAAATCAAATCATTTTAAAATGAATCAAAATAAAACACTGAAAAAATGATATATTTTATTTGTTTACCTGCATGTCATGTGACCATAACCAACATCAGAGAACCAATGAACATGCAGATGTGTTTAATTATTTACAATCTCGGGGGTACTTCAAATAAAAATATAATAGGTGACAGAGGATCAGATGAGAAACAAGTTGGTGAATTTGTGCACTTTAATGTGTTTGAAAGACAAACGCCTTCCAAAGTAATAACCTTCATGGTAAAATAACCGATCGAGTGATAATTCAATAACGCAATAAGCCCCAGTGTCAGTGTACAGTGAGTTTATAACAGCTAAGGGGTGTTGTTAGGCACGACGCGAAGCTGTTATAAATTCACTGTAAACCACGGCTTCACGGGGCTTATTGCTTTTATAAAACGGTTATTCCATATACGTAGTAAGGTTTCACAAAATAAAACAGAGCAAATAAAGTGTAATGATATTAATAAAAACAGTATTCTTCCACCAAACAATGTAGCTCCTCAGAAACAGTTGTGGTTGCTACAAAGTGGTTGCCGAGCAACACACAAACGTAAACAAAGGTGTATGTTACTTTGTAGAGTAATTTACAACAGCTTCGAACGCGGCTCAGCCAATCAGAATCAAGCACCGGAACTCTCCGTTTTATAATATTGCTATTGTGTGTATAATATGTAATCATGTAATCCATTAAAAAGTAACTGTAGTCTGATTACTACGGTGGCTCAGAGAGCTCAAGCGCTGCAACTTCAGAAAACACGTGCAAGTAGAAAAAGCACCAGCAAATGAAGAAAACATCTTCATTAGTTTGACAGCACATGCGCTGCAAATACTCACAACACAAACAAATACAGAAACGCACAAGTCGCACAAACCACAAAATCACCACAACAAAACCAAAACTAACCATGTTTTATTTTTTTGGGGAATATTGATTACCATTTGTATAACCACAGTTGTATAAATACCATGGTTAAACTATGGTTAGTGTAGTAAATCCATGGTTAATTTGTGTATGGTTTAGCTATAGCAACCATTTTTTGTTTTTATTTATTTTTGTATATAATAAATGTATTTATTAATTAATCAATGTTAATACCATAGGCTATGGTTAATTTTTGTAGAGGAAATTGTAATCCAGTACGTAATCCAGATTACGACCCTGCTCTGCTGAGAATATTCTCTGTCTCTGTGTCTGTTCTCCTGCAGCATTAAAGAAGCCGTGACTCACATCAACTCCATCGACAGCAGCAAGTTCTCCAGACTTCTGTCCCGCATTCTGCAGAAGCTCCACCTGAAGGTGTGTGAGTGTGTGTGTGAACAAATGACTCTGTGAACGATTCCTTGTAATGAATCGGTCAAAAAGACTCAAACTCACTACAGTGTGAACAGTTGAATAAATGTCTGAGTCATGAACAAATGACTCTGTGAACGATTCCTTGTAATGAATCGGTCAAAAAGACTCAAACTCACTACAGTGTGAACAGTTGAATAAATGTCTGAGTCATGAACAAATGACTCTGTGAACGATTCCTTGTAATGAATCGGTCAAAAAGACTCAAACTCACTACAGTGTGAACAGTTGAATAAATGTCTGAGTCATGAACAAATTACTCTCTGAACGATTTCTTGTAATGAATCGGTCAAAAAGATTAAAAATCACTACAGTGTGAACAGTTGAATAAATGTCTGAGTCATGAACAAATTACTCTCTGAACGATTTCTTGTAATGAATCGGTCAAAAAGATTAAAAATCACTACAGTGTGAACAGTTGAATAAATGTCTGAGTCATGAACAAATGACTCTCTGAACGATTCCTTGTAATGAATCGGTCAAAAAGACTCAAACTCACTACAGTGTGAACAGTTGAATAAATGCCTGAGTCATGAACAAATGACTCTGTGAACGATTTTTTTTTAAATAATCTCTTGTGCATTTGAAAGGTTCCATGGATGTTAAAGCCAGTTGTTATTAAGAGTGTATCAGGAGCATCTGAAGTGTTATTATTGGCTTCATTATATTACTGTCTATTAATAATCTGTGTCATCTCTGGTCCTGTAGTTACGCTGTAGATCAGCGTCAGATCTGAACATCAGCGTGTGTTTGAGCTCATGGTGTAGTTCAGTGTGTCTCTTTTTTTTGAACAATGGAAAGCTTATTTGTTCAGCTTTCAGATGGTGTATAAATCTCAATTTCGAAAAATTGACCCTTATGACTAGTTTTGTGCTCCAGGGTCACATATGGGCTACATGATTGTTAGTAGGTAAACCATGTTCAATAATATTAATAAAATATTTTTCTACATTTGTTGGAGATCTTTTAATTATGTCCCAGTGTTTATGGCAGTGTGTCACAGTTGTAAATATCTAAAGAAATCATTAGATTTTAAAGTAAAGCTAAGTTGAGTGTGTTTCTCGTGTGTTTTCCAGCTGGATCTCGTGGGTTGGCAGCTCAATCTGCAGATGGCTTCATCGGCTCGGAGCAGACTGAAAGCGCCGCATGCCGTCCTCAATCTGGGGCTCCGGACAGAGGACGACACCGAGGTAAACACACACGCTTCTCAGCTTTCAGATCAACACACATAGAGGAGAAGCTCGTGCATTCCAGTGTTTTCTGTGTGAACGGAGAGACGGAGCTGCAGTTCCTCCGGCGCTCAGAAGGTGGTGCTGTGGCTGCATGTGTGTGTGTGAGAGAGAGTGTGTGTGTGTGTGTGTGT